TCTGATTACCTCGATAATTCCTGCCTTATTTTTGATGTCACAATCAAACCAAAATTGAACAATCGCCATTGTGAGGATTTAAAATATTTTGGTCTATTTACAGTTAATATAACTTAATGCCTACAACAATATGATATAAATTCAATGAAAACACGTATATGTGTAACTATAAAATACACGGGTTAATCAATTGCTAAAAAAATATTTTGAATAAAAAAAAAAAAACTCATCACTATGGTCTAACTTATATGGAAAAACATTTTTCGATTTTTGTTTGAAAGTATTAAGACGCTTGATACTTCAGGTTTGCTACTCATTTATGCTTAAGTACCGTTATGACTCACTCGCAGGTTATCAATTCGTTATCATTATCACTACGTGCACAAGCTATAAATTGGTAAAGGACAGCTGCCAGTGGACTCAGCGTAGCCATATTTGAGTGAAATTAGCGTTTAGAATGTTTGGCGATGAGCCACCTCATTTCGACAGTGTACCTTATTAATTTCGATGTGATAATTTTTTTTCAATAAGATTTTAGGTTCAACGCCAGAAGTGACGGCTTCCTCGAAATATGAAGGAAATGGAATTAAGTCACTTTAATTCAGAATCGCTATCGTGGTATATTTGGATTTAGAGATGTAAATTTTTTTTTTTGGTAATTTACCGAGAAAAGTATACGTAAATTTGGTAAATTTTGATCATTTCGGTATGTTACCATAAAAAGACTCCCAGAAACTCCTCTCTGCCGCGTTTGTCACATTTCCATGAACTTATAATTGTTTTTATTTACTGGATAGTAGGATGTTAAATTTAGTGACTGCGGTTCTGGTTCTAATATATGAGTTAAAAATAGTGTACAGAACATTTCAAAATAATCACATAAGTTTAACCGGTGCCCCAAAACCTTGAGGAGCTTAACATTACCAATATTTCAAACGTGGTTTATTATCTATATCTGTGATAAAATCAATTTGACATTAATTGTGATAATAATTTATCGTCTCAGATATACTTAAGTTGTATTCGTATACGTGTTTAATGTTATGTACTCTAATGTACTACACTATGAGTGGTCGTGGACGTTTTACATTTTATAATCTAAACACCATTCCATTCCATTTTACTATCTAGTGTGTCCACTGAAAAAATATCCGAACAGACGTTTACTTTTAAATTTTGGTGGCCCTGAAAAGGGCCGTTTTAAACTGTGGTTTTGGTGGGTAAGGTAGCAGAGTTAAGCCTTCTTCTCGGTCTTCTTGGGCAAGAGCACGGCTTGGATGTTGGGCAACACACCACCTTGGGCGATGGTTACTCCGGACAACAATTTGTTCAACTCCTCGTCATTCCTGATGGCCAATTGTAAATGTCTGGGGATGATACGGGACTTCTTGTTGTCACGGGCGGCGTTACCGGCCAACTCCAAAACTTCAGCTGCCAAGTACTCCATGACGGCGGCCAGGTATACCGGGGCTCCAGCTCCGACACGTTCGGCGTAGTTTCCTTTCCTCAACAGACGATGGATACGTCCGACCGGGAACTGGAGTCCGGCCCGGGACGACCTGGTCTTGGATTTGCCTCCCTTCGATTTTCCTGCCTTGCCGCGTCCGCTCATGATTGTAATAGTGCTTGGTACGGTTCAAATTCGATACTGAATAAGACTGATGCAGAATTCCGCCTGAAGTTTTCGTATATATATAGTAAAACTGTGGATAAAAATTCTGTGATTGGACAGAGATAACGACACTACGGTACTACATCACAACGTTTGGTTGACTTTCATTACCAAACGATGTTTTTTTCATTGGACATAATCATGAAACGTACTTGTGGAGAAACTCCTATTTTTATTTATTGTGGACTAATCGGCGATCCTATTTATATCGTCATCATTATGGTATTTACACCAATAAACGAACGACTTGTCGTTTGGATTTGGTAATATATACCCACCGCTATGATACAAAAATTATCACCCAGTTCACAACGTTTCAGTCGTCAACAAGTCTAGATACAACTATTCGAAATGGCTCCAGGAGGAAAATCGGCGGGTAAAGCAATGAAGAAGTCGTCCGGCAAGGCACAAAAGAACATCGCCAAGTCCGACAAGAAGCGCAAGCCCAAGAGGAAAGAATCGTACGCAATCTACATCTACAAAGTGTTGAAACAAGTACATCCCGACACCGGAGTTTCGTCTAAAGCCATGAGCATCATGAACAGCTTCGTCAACGACCTGTTCGAGCGCATCGCCGCCGAATCCAGTCGTCTAGCTCACTACAACAAACGTTCGACCATTACCAGCCGGGAAATCCAAACCGCCGTCCGACTCTTGTTGCCCGGTGAATTGGCCAAGCACGCCGTCAGTGAAGGAACCAAAGCTGTGACCAAGTACACCAGCTCCAAATAAGGCAAACCTTTTGAAATATCAATACTCAACTAAAACGGCCCTTTTCAGGGCCACCAATCGCTATGAAAAAATTTCCGTTTCTTAACAACCATTATTTTGAAATAGGAATTATCGCTTGTATATATTATGACAATTACAGTGTAAAGAGCTGGGGGGGGGGGAGATCAGTGGGTCATAACCAAGATAATTGAAAAAGAAAACGACGAAAAAATGCTGTCCCGTTACGTAAGAAATATACCAAAATATCGGTTCCTAAACTATGATATAAAACAATGAAATATGTAATATTATTATAAATACGATGGATATTAATAGTTAATGCCGGGTATTACCGAAGTTAACGAGAAATTCGGTAAAAACATTCTAAAAATAACCCATTGTATGCCACGGCAAATTGCATTATTATTGTGTTGTTGTCGGTCGATCCGTGATAACGAAAAAATTAATGTTAATATTATATTCGAGCGACCGTGATAGCTATACCTAACCCGTCTGTAATGTCAACATGGGTCCATCGAGATTTTTAATTAGGTACAATCGGTATTTCACGTAATTGAAGCCATATGTACTACGAAAATCCTGGATAATCATTGTTTGTTCATCGATAATCGGTAATAAAAATGTATTTATAACAACGTCAATGTTCACATGGTAAATGTCGTACCCATTCATCAAACTTAACCAGAGAGCGGGGAAAAAGTATCTATAAATAAACAGACGACAGTCGGCTGGTAGTGTCGTGTATTATAATGTATGTTTTATACTTCGTGGTCTCGTGGATGTTGTTACACTGTTGAGTTATTCGATTCCCGACAGTTATCAACATTATACATGGCCTATCCGAATTACAAAAAATATAAAATAATGAAATATGTTATATTATTATAAATACGATGGATATTAATAGTTAATGGCGGGTATTACCGAAGTTAACGAGAAATTCGGTAAAGACATTCTAAAAATAACCCATTGTATGGGCACGGCAAATTGCATTATTATTGTGTTGTTGTCGGTCGATCCGTGATAACGAAAAAATTAAGGTTAATATTATATTCGAGCGACCGTGATAGCTATACCTAACCCGTCTGTAATGTCAACATGGGTCAGGCGCGTATCCAGAATTTTATTTCGGGAGGGGCTGAACAAAATTATCAACATAGTCACACAATAAACAAAAAGTGGGTAAGTGGATGTCGCTCTGCTGCATAGTAGGTAACAAGTGGGTCATTTAGTGATATAATATCACAGTATAAGAAAAACGATTCTAAGCGAAAACGGTCAGTCAGCCTATGATATTACTAAGTATATTTGATGATATTATTGTGAATAAAGTAATTTATATATTTACCTATTTACGTGGACCATTGTTTTAAATTTTTAATCCTTAACTATGAAAGTTGAACATTTTATAAATTTTTAATTACAAAATATTTATTATATTTTAAATTTGATAAATTTTGTCAAAATTCGAACTTTAAATGATTATAAGTAACGTCAATGTTCACATTGTAAATGGCGTACCCATTCATCAAATTTCCCCAGAAAGCGGGGAAAAAGTGTCTATAAAATAACAGACGACAGTCGGCTGGTAGTGTCGTGTATTAAAATGTATGTTTTATACTTCGTGGTCTCGTGGATGTTGTTACACTGTTGAATTATTGGATTCCCGACAGTTATCAACATTAGACATTACCTATTCAAATTACAAAAATGACCATCCACCACAACTTATTGTTCAAGGGCCACGGTTGTACCAATGAATGAAAACGATATTGTAATATTTAGCGCGTGACTGTGCGTTGACTTATTCTCGGTATTATGAAACATTAGATTCTGAGCTGAACTCTGATACCTATTGTCTGTACTGCTTCTATTTTCCTGCATTTTAAAAAACTTATAAAATGTTCAACTTTTATAGCTAAGGACTGAAAATTTAAAACAAGTGTCCACGTTATTAGGGAAATATATAAATTTTTTACTGAGTGATTATCAAGATAATGTAAAAAGAAAACGTTGAAAAAATGCTGTCCCGTTACGTAAGAAATATACCAAAATATCGGTTCCTAAACTATGATATAAAATAATGAAATATGTAATATTATTATAAATACGATGGATATTAATAGTTAATGGCGGGTATTACCAAATATAATATACATATAGGTAATATTATAATAATTTGATAATTAATACTATTCATATTATTAATAGTCGATCACAAGGAATTCGGTAAAAACATTCTAAAAATAACTCATGAATGAAAAACCCATAGAAATACGGGCAATAGTATCTCGACGTAATTAAATGTTATTTTTATTTGCATCGCTTATGATTATAAATAACATTGAATTTGGGAATTCCTTAATAATTGGGACCGATGTTTTTATTTCAATTCGATTACAATAATCAAACTGCAATTGCGTAGTTTCACCCGTCCATAGTCTGAAACGATCAGTTAAGGCAGTAAATCATCACACGTCATACGGCTTACAAAAATGTATGAAAAATGTCGGCGCAAGACATATGTTATATAAAATTGGTGGTCCTGAAAAGGACCGTTTTAAGGTATGAAGAGGAAAGTATTTTTACTACCAGCCTACTTCTTTTTGGGAGCTGCGGTTTTCTTGATCGGAGTTTTCTTCGATTTGGGCTTGACAGCGGCCGGCTTCTTCGCCTTGGCTGGGGCCTTCTTCGGTGTAGTCGCCTTGGGTTTGGTTGCAGCGGCCTTTTTCGCTTTTTTGGCTGCTGGTTCGCCCGCCGCGGGTTTCTTGGCGGCTACGAGCTTCTTCTTTTTCGGTGTTCCGGCGGCTTTGACTTTTTTGACGATGGATTTCTTCTTTTTGGCCACAAAGGCTTTTTTCGGCTTGACCTCGACGACGGGCAACTTGAAGTGTCCCGATGCGCCGGTTCCCTTGGTCTGGACGACGGAACCGTTGGCGACGGCGGCTTTCAAAAACTTCCTGATGAAAGGCGCCAACTTGGCGGGATCGACTTTGTAGTTGGCGGCCAAGTATTTCTTGATGGCTGGTAACGACTAGTGATGGGCGATTCGAATCGATCTTTTAAAAGATCGATCTTTTTCATGCGATTAATCGATTTTTTGAATCGATCTCTATGGTCCGATCTTTTATGTGAATCGATTCATTTATGTGAAAATCGAATCGAATCGTTGATCCGATCTTTTAGGTGAATCGATTCATTTTGTGAATATCGAATCGAATCGTTGGACAACGGATGTTGTCCCATATCCGATCTTTTATGTGAATCGATTCATTATTCATTTTTGATTCGATTTTTTTACAGTGGTGACAGTCTCGTACGCACTTTACCGTATAATTTGTGGTCATTTCATAATGAATTGGTGTCAAAAAAAGCCTCGGAAAATTCTGAAGAGAACAATGAGCGTATGCCAACAGACCTAAAACATTTTTATATTATTATTAAGGACCTAGGTACAACACTTTCCAGTGTATACTGTATACGCGCTCCGAAATCAAGAGTACTCGCCAGGGCCGTATTTCCTCTTTTTGCGCCCTGGGTTAAAAATATTTGTAGCCCTCTCTTCCCAAAAAAAGAAAAAAATGAATATATAATATTATTATTATAATGCATGTGTTATAATAATATTATGTATGTTCGTGCCTTCGTGGAGATCATGAAAATTTTGTTTGTCGTGAAAGTATAAAAAAATCAAAAATATTTGTGTGTACCCACCTAACCCTGCAACCACTACATACATTTTATTAATTTAAAAAAAAAACATTTTAGCTTTATACAAATACAACAACTATAGTACTATAGACATTAATAGGTTAATACATCAACATGTATGTTGGTGTGTTAAAACAAAAAAAAATAGGGGCGCTGTCCAAATATTAGGGAACTATAATTTGTCTAGCCTCGACCAGAAATTTAAGTCTGCGCAAGCCTATGCAATTGGCCTATCATAGGGATGCAATGCAAAAAGTACAAGTACGAGTATAGGTACTCAAACAAATTCTTACCAAAAAAAAAAAAATGTTAATTATATAATATACACCGGCGCCTGGCCGTCTCCTAAATGTGTCAAAAATTGACCGCCCAGGGCAAATGTCCCCGTTGCCCCCCCTTAAATACGGCCCTGGTACTCGCACTAGTCGCACTGGCATTAATTGTATGGAGTATGGAGTATGGACTATCGAAAACCTTTATATATTAATTGTTATGACCTCGAGCGTGACAAGGGAGAACTAGAGTAGGTATCACGCGGCATTTAGTGATTAAAAAATTTCCGATTTTTTTGGATCGATCTTTTGAAAAATCGATCTTTTGCGAACGATTCATTTAGAGATCGATCTTTTTTTCCCGATCTAGATCGATTCAAAAGATCGATTCACTTTCGAGAATCGCCCATCACTAGTAACGACGAACCTTTCTTCTCCTTGAGCTCTTTGATAGCCGAGGTGACCATCACGGCGGTGGTCGGGTGCAACGCAACGGTCTTCTTGACTTTAGAAGCCGACAACTTCTTCTTGGCAGGGGACTTCTTCGCGGCCGGCGATGCGGCGACTGGAGCCGGAGTTGTAGCAACGGTGTCTGTCATGTTGTTGATGATGATATTGTTCAAGTAAAAATTTAAAACGATGGATAATTCCACTGGATACTGCGGTGATACCAATTGGGTCGAAAAATGTGTACGTTTATACAGTGCACCGTACCAACTAGTAAACCAGTGTGATTCGCGTCGTCCTCCGGGCTACGGTTGTACAATCGTTTTTCACAATATCTCAACGGGAAATGGTGGTAAAAATCTTGCTTTGAACTTTTTGGCGAGCTAACTAAATTCTAAACGATCGCCAATGACTATTGCATCGGCAACCAGTACCACGAAACCACCACGAGTCGTTATTTCCACACTTCCGACCGGGTTTTCGTAAACCGTATTTGAAGGTCTGTCGTATGACTGAAACCAGTCGAAAATTGACGAAAATATTTTGGATGAATTCTCCACGAGTTTCCCGAGACCATGGCGTTTGCAGATTTCCAATCGACCGATTTTCCGATGAACAGTGGCTGTTCGAATATGACGGTTTTAGGACTCTGCCACGGCACGGTGTCACCGGCGTGTTTCTACCTGAAGTTTTAACGAGACAGACTTTGTCAATAAATCTCGTCTTAATCGTACTTTACCGAATAAATGATTATAACAACACATTGTTAAAGGACTTCGGTCGAAACAACAATTTATGTTCATTTGTATGCACTTTTTGTCAACCATACCGATGGACCGGATGACGGGATAAGACTTTTTGAAAACTGATTTGAATACATTAATATATCTATGTGAAATCGATCACGTCACATTTTCTCGTTCCTAAACTAATACCAATTTTGATCAAATGTCTCATATTTTCCTAAATTTTAAATTTAAATAAAATAAACGAATAATCTTAAAATGTGTGATGATCGAACTCAAGACAAGTAGTCATATTAACGACTACTGCAAATAAGTGTCCAGTAGTTTCATCGCGTTATCTGGATTGACGAAAAGTAAAATAAAAAAAAAATGAACATAAATTGTTTACAGTTCACCTGCGCAACGTCGTGGCCTGCACGTACACGCATTCGTTGTCTCCGTCTTACAAGTGATAAAGTACATAAAAAAAATTCACGCTATTCCGCAACACTACCGCAATGCCCTCAATTAATATTTTATTCGAAGTTTAATTGTAATTAGTTGAAATAAAACCCTTGGATTATAATTAAGAAATTCCCAAATGAAATATTATCTATAACCGCATGATTTAACTTGTAATGAAATTTAATAATCACGTCGAGACATTATTATTATTCCCCGTTTCGGTATTTCTATAAAAACAGAGGTTTTTCATTGGTGAGTTATTTTTAGAATGTTTATACCAAATTGTTTGTTATCGACGGTAATACCCTCACAACGGCTATTAATAACACGGATATCTATCGTATTTACAGTTTCTACACTATTATACATGTTATCATGCATACTCTATCATATTGGAACCGATATTTCTTGTAATATAATTATAAAGTACATAGTTATGAAAATCGAAAAAAATAAATCATGAAACAAAAGCCTATTAATGGTAGGTTCACGAAACGAATGACGTAGTGATATAGTAAATCACAAAAATAATAAACTCATCACCAAACCAGGCAGCGATTTACTCGATAATATCATTAGAATGATAGCTTTAGAAATCGATTAAACAATTAATATTACAATAATATGAACGTTATTAGAACATCATCCAAGGAGGCTAAAAAAAGTATAATGATAGTACTTGAAGCTTTTTTTTGTAATATTGATTCAAAGTGCCGCAATAATATTCAAACAGGATTACGTTATCAACGGAATATAGTGTTGTTTCTATGTTTTGACTTGAAGTATTTCAATTAAATCATGGAAAAACTGTCAAAGAAACAATGCATAGATAATCTACTTCAATATTATAATCGGAACGTTATTCCCCGTGTTTTCTTAAACAAATTGGGATTCATCAATGACGCCACCGAACAACTCCGGAACAGACAATAGTTGTATACTTTGCTTTAATGTTATTATACGCGATATATGTCATCATATGGTGGCCCTGAAAAGGGCCTTTTTAGGATGTTTTTAAACTTCAAAAGTAAGTACTGTCGGCATTTAACCTCCGAAACCATACAGAGTACGGCCTTGTCGTTTGAGAGCGTACACGACGTCCATGGCGGTGACGGTCTTCCTCTTGGCGTGCTCGGTGTACGTGACTGCGTCACGGATCACGTTTTCCAGGAATACCTTCAGGACTCCACGGGTCTCTTCGTAGATCAAACCGGAAATACGTTTGACACCGCCTCGGCGGGCCAACCGACGGATGGCGGGCTTGGTGATTCCCTGGATGTTATCACGGAGCACTTTACGATGACGTTTCGCGCCTCCTTTTCCCAGACCTTTTCCTCCTTTGCCTCGTCCTGTCATTTTGAATGTTTGAGTGGTGTTGGACTTGTTCGGATGTGAACTGAACGTTGACTGATACTTTTCCTCAGGTCGCAGTCCATTTTAACCGTTTCTCTCGAAGCCGAACCACCAATCGGAACCATGACCGGTTATCCCCCCGGCCCTCCACCACTACAATTCTAACCGTTAAACATCGACCAATGAGGACGACCCACACGGTTCCGATTTACGTATATATACCGGTCGACTGCGTGTCGAACCGCATCATTCGTTCAGCAGTCACGTTTTGCAGTCCAACTCAGAACAATCCAATCCAGCAGCGCAATGGCACGTACCAAGCAGACAGCCCGTAAGTCTACCGGCGGAAAGGCACCCAGGAAGCAGTTGGCCACCAAAGCCGCACGTAAGAGCGCACCCGCCACCGGAGGAGTGAAAAAGCCACATCGTTACCGCCCGGGAACCGTTGCCCTCCGTGAAATCCGTCGTTATCAGAAGAGCACCGAACTTTTGATCCGCAAATTGCCGTTCCAACGTCTAGTGCGCGAGATCGCTCAGGACTTCAAGACCGACCTGCGTTTCCAGAGTTCCGCCGTCATGGCGTTGCAAGAAGCCAGCGAGGCATACTTGGTGGGTCTGTTCGAAGACACCAATCTCTGTGCAATCCACGCCAAGCGTGTCACGATCATGCCAAAGGACATCCAGTTGGCCCGTCGTATCCGCGGTGAACGTGCTTAAATTGATAGTCGTCATACCTTAAAAAGGCCCTTTTCAGGGCCACCAAAATGTACTTGTATTCTGGCGACGGGAGGGAGATTGATAATTGTTGATATTACACTATCAGCCAGCGTGTGCTATTAATACCAATATTTGTATGAATACAATTCAGTTGATAATTATATTTTACAGAATAGGAGAACAAATATTACAACGCGGGCCAAATTTATAAGACGGGGAATCGAATAATTCAACAGTGGAACAACATCCACGAGACCGCGAAGTATAAAACATACATTATAACACAGCCAGCTGACTATCGTCTGTTTACTTATAGATCCTTTTGTCACGCTTTCTGGGAAAGTTTGATAAATAGGTACGCCATTTACCATGTAAACAATGACATTGTTATAAATACATTTTTATTACCGATAATCGATCAACAGACAGTAATTATCAAGAATTATCGGTGTTTACATGGCTTCAATTAAGTAAAATATACCGATAGTGTCTAATTATAAATTCCGAAAGACCCATGTTGACATTGTAGACGGGTATGATATGGTTGGGTATAGCTTACTCAGTCGCTCATGTGTTAATATTAATATTTTCATTACCACGGATCGACAGACAACAACACATAAAAATTAAATTGCGATGGGTTATTTTTAGAATGATTTTACCAAATTTCTTGTTATCGGCGGTAATACCCGCATCCACGGTATTTACAACACAGTTAGGCACTAATCATGATAGGTACCTAATCGCGTCGTAATTTTGTCAAATAACCGAAAATAGACATTAGAATAATGCAGGTACTTAAGAATATATTTTGTATTTCATTGTATAATTATAGCTAATCATCTGATTACCTCGATAATTCCTGCCTTATTTTTGATGTCACAATCAAACCAAAATTGAACAATCGCCATTGTGAGGATTTAAAATATTTTGGTCTATTTACAGTTAATATAACTTAATGCCTACAACAATATGATATAAATTCAATGAAAACACGTATATGTGTAACTATAAAATACACGGGTTAATCAATTGCTAAAAAAATATTTTGAATAAAAAAAAAAAAACTCATCACTATGGTCTAACTTATATGGAAAAACATTTTTCGATTTTTGTTTGAAAGTATTAAGACGCTTGATACTTCAGGTTTGCTACTCATTTATGCTTAAGTACCGTTATGACTCACTCGCAGGTTATCAATTCGTTATCATTATCACTACGTGCACAAGCTATAAATTGGTAAAGGACAGCTGCCAGTGGACTCAGCGTAGCCATATTTGAGTGAAATTAGCGTTTAGAATGTTTGGCGATGAGCCACCTCATTTCGACAGTGTACCTTATTAATTTCGATGTGATAATTTTTTTTCAATAAGATTTTAGGTTCAACGCCAGAAGTGACGGCTTCCTCGAAATATGAAGGAAATGGAATTAAGTCACTTTAATTCAGAATCGCTATCGTGGTATATTTGGATTTAGAGATGTAAATTTTTTTTTTTGGTAATTTACCGAGAAAAGTATACGTAAATTTGGTAAATTTTGATCATTTCGGTATGTTACCATAAAAAGACTCCCAGAAACTCCTCTCTGCCGCGTTTGTCACATTTCCATGAACTTATAATTGTTTTTATTTACTGGATAGTAGGATGTTAAATTTAGTGACTGCGGTTCTGGTTCTAATATATGAGTTAAAAATAGTGTACAGAACATTTCAAAATAATCACATAAGTTTAACCGGTGCCCCAAAACCTTGAGGAGCTTAACATTACCAATATTTCAAACGTGGTTTATTATCTATATCTGTGATAAAATCAATTTGACATTAATTGTGATAATAATTTATCGTCTCAGATATACTTAAGTTGTATTCGTATACGTGTTTAATGTTATGTACT